CCATGTTTATTGTATACTCGCACGTGGCCGGCTGTCCTCACGACAACGACGTCATCACGTTTACAGCGTTATTTTTTTCCGTTCAAAAAGTAATCGACTCTAAGAATATATGTCAGACATCGTGCGTAGTACCTATTAGAACACCTGATTCGAACGGTTCCCGTACACTTCTTTTTCTACGTTAGTCTTCTTTTACACCATTTGCATACTGAGATGGCTTTTGTGTGTAACGTTATACATTTTTCGTTGTTCGATTAATTGATGTACATCTATGATCGGCGTTATTGATACCTTTATAATATGATAAAACTGCATTTGTTTATTATAATTAACTATTGGCGTTAGTGAATGTACAGAACACTAGAATAATGCTAAATTTTTGTTGATTAAATAAAATCTATAGTATTCTGTCGATGATTTTATGACAATCGATGGGGCTGAGTTTGAGAATCACATTATACTGATAAATAATAAATATGAAACAAAATTAAAGTAAATGCATATTTGTATTAGAATAATATATTTAAAGTATGATAAGTACCTAATATTTACTGTTTAAATCATTTTAATTTTACCGATTTCTCTATTTTGTTAATGGTTTGAAACATATTTTGGCATTTCATCGTGTATACATGTATTATATTAATAGCATTGTGATTATTTTTCGAATATACTTACATAAAATTAAATAAAAAAACTTCTATTGTAATTTGAAAAACTTGCAAAATTATGCAAAATTATTTAATTTTCATCATATTATATTTTAATTATATGCCATACCTATACAATTTCAACTTAAGAAAATTCTTACTGTTACAAAAAAAAAAATCCCGGCTTTATTTTATTTTCAGACAATTAATGATAATTTATGGTAGATATCTTTTTAAATATTGCAGTTTGAATATCTTGTACTTAAAATATATACCTGTTGATACTACTTTTTATAAAACTTATTACCTATACATGTGTAATTGTATTGGCACCTAATAAATTTATGATATTGAATAATGTTAGTTTATAATGATGCCTCTATAGTCTATGATGTAAACTTAATAAATTAGATTGTGAACCATAGATATTTTATTTAAAGGGGTATTCGAGAAATCGTCAAATCGTGAGTAACTAGTATTTTAGTTTTTACTATAACAGGTGGTTAAAAATATTACAGTAAATTATTTAATCTTGTTTTATTCTGATGGGTATAATATTAGACTTGCCTCTAAAAATCTTAACCAAGCTATTAGTGTAAATAATCTTATCATTTCCTAGATTTGTTAATTTTTCACTCATATCATAAAATACATTTCATTCTAATAAAACTTACTTCAATATTATATTCAATTTTAAAATAAAAAGTTTAAAAATTAATTTATATTTTGATTAAATAAATCCTTGAGAGCAATTGAATATTTTGCCATTTTTTTTGTTATTGAATAGTTAAGTTACAAAGTCATAATATAATAGAGCCAACACTCAATATATATTTTATTGGCAAATTATTAGATATTTTGATTTAGCTCAAATAAATTAAAATAATAAAATCTAAGTATCTATCTAAACAATTTACAAATGTTTAATTAGTTATGAGTATTAACTACAAGTTTTACCTCAGTATATCTACTAATTACTAATAAATGTTTATTTTATTATAATAGTTCAATCATTTTTATTAAATTGTTTTTTAAATTATTTTCAGGATATGTCAGTAATGAGATTCCACTTGTTACCCGTTACATAAATCTCAGACGAGAAAATCTCATAATTACATGTGTTGGACGTGCTTTTCACACATACAGTTCTGATAGATTTCAACTTCTATCTGTAAGCCCACAACATGAGACGGACATCACTTGTTTGGCTGCAGATAGTTACCTGGTATATACTAGTTGTGGAAACCAAATATATGCTTGGCGACGTGGTATAGAACTGAAACACACATATTCAGGTCATAAAGCAGCAATCAAATTATTGTTTCCATTTGCGGCCAATTTAGTGTCTATTGATGAATCAGGAGCTCTTAAAATTTGGGATGTGAAAACTGAAAGTATATATAAAGAAATTCAATTAGACTTCACTGCAACAGCTATATGCCATCCACCAACTTATACTAATAAATTATTAATTGGCTCAGCTGAAGGAAAATTACAGTTGTGGAACATAAAAACAGGATCCATGATTCATGAATTTAAAGGTTGGAACAGTCGTGTGACCAGCTTAGAACCAGCTCCAGCTGAAGATATGATGGCTATAGGATTAAGTAATGGAAAAATTATTTTGCATAATTTAAAGTATGATGTAACCAACATAAGTTTTACACAAGATTGGGGCTCTGTTACACGTATAAGTTTTCTTATTAAACGACAATTAATGATAACTGGTAGTCCAAAGGGCACTGTAGTAGTTTGGAATCTCGAAGAAGGAAAAGTCGATAGCTTAATCGTTAAAGCGCATCATGGACCAGTTTGTGGTCTTCAGTGTTTACCGGATGAACCGCTTCTTGTGACTTCGTCTTCTGACAATTCTTTAAAAATGTGGCGGTTTGATATGTCTGATGGTTCGGCTAGTCTGTTTAAAATACGCGAAGGTCATTTCAAACCTCCTGTTTCTATTCGTTTTCACGGTGCAGATGGTGCTAGTATTTTAAGTTCTGGAAATGATTCATCATTGCGTGTTTTCAATACAATCACCGAAATCGCAAATAAAAGTTTTGGACGCGCATCATACAATCGTAAAGCTTCCAAAAAAAGAGGAAATAAATGGGCCGATCCTCTTATAATGCCTCCAATATCTACATTCACATCAGAAACCACTCGAGATAAAGAATGGGACAGCATTGTTGCTGTACATAGAGGTATACCAACTGTGACTACTTGGTCGTTTGACAAGAGTAAAATGGGAGAACACAAGTTATGTCATGAAAGATTTAAGAAAAATGTCAGTGGGCAGAAAGGAATCAGCGCCACATGTGCATGTCTTACACATTGTGGTAATTTTGCAGTTATTGGTTATAGCTCTGGTCACATTGATAAGTACAACATTCAGTCGGGCTTACACAGAGGAACCTATGGGCAACCAATCGCCCATAAATATGTTCGTGGAGTCTATGTAGACATTTTTAATCAAATAATGGTATCTGGTGGCTCAGATACATTTTTAAAATTCTGGAATTTTAAAAAATTAAGTATGTCAAATTTATTTTTAAAATAATTGATTAAATACTATTTTATTAGAAAAACTTTTTTAATTTTTTTGCAGATTTATTGTCTAAGTTGGAATTGGAAGATACAGTTTCATTATTTAGCTGGCACACAGAAAGTTCTTTTCTAGCTGTTGCTTTAGATAATTATGATATTTATCTAATTGATATTGATACTCGCACCATCGTAAGAAAGTTTAGTGGTCATCGAGGTCCATTGACTGATTTGACTTTTAGTCCAGATTCCAGATGGTTAGTTACATCAGCAATGGATTCAACTATTCGTACTTGGGACATTCCATCATCATCAATGATCGATATACTTAAAGTAAGCTATTTGACATGATTATCATTGAATTATAAATATAATATAATTATTTTTTTAATATTTTAGGTTGATACACCTTGCGTTTCATTGACATTTTCTCCAACTGGTAGTTATCTAGCTACAGCACATGCTGACCGTTTGGGAATATATTTATGGTTTAATAAAACACTATATAATCATGTTAGCTTACGACCCATCACTAAAGAAGATCAGATCACAGAATCTCTTCCATTGACTGGTGTTAATCAAGAATCTTTAGAATGCCCTATTGATGAAGATACTGATGAATACATCTCTAAAGTGCAAATTGAAAACACTATAACTATGAGTGGCCTAAATGATGCCAGATGGCAGAGTATTTTAAATTTAGATGCTGTCAAAAAGAGAAATAAACCATTACAACCACCGAAAGCTCCAGCTGCTGCTCCATTTTTCCTACCTACTATACAATCAGTAGACTTTCAATTTGATTTAAAAGGAGTTGAAAAAGTGAATTCCAATACCAAAGTTATTCCGGAAACATTAATGCAAACTGTTTTTGCTCAGCAACTTTTAAAAGCCACTACAATAAAAGATTATCAAGTTTTATTTGATCAGTTAAAATTAATGGGACCATCAGCTTTGAACTATGAAGTACGAAGTTTGTCTCCTGAAGCTGGTGGAACATATGAACTGATGGTTAAATTTTTAGAGCTTTTAAAACAAGTATCTGAAAAAAATAAAGATTT